CCCATCGTCAAGGTTTCGCGCTCGAGGTGGGGCCCATCACTAAGACGTCCAATTTGAAATGGCTGAATTTGGCCCATACGAAGAGCCCAGTTTGCATGAGAGTGGGAGCCTTTAGTGGACCATCACCATATTCGCTATGGGCCCATTGAAAAGTATGTGTTCACGGGTTGTTCCTTCTTGGGTTGGGCAGGCATACGAACGACGGATTCTTCTTGGGAGAAGTACTAATCAGCCCAGATCAAAATTTTTAGGTCTAAAGTAGGGAATGCATCCTGACCGTGAATTGATGCCAAATTTACGGGTAGAATGTGGTTTATAGGGGGGAGAGGGTTAGTTATAGGAGGGGGCTGGAATTCAGAATTCTGCATTGTATGTTTCCGTATTTTTTCGTTCTTCTTTTTCTGGGAGGGGGTTACGTGTCGACCTAGAGGTAAGACACGTAGAGATCATCCGACTGTGGTGAAAGCTTGCGTGCCGCCGAGTTATCTCGTACTGCTGTACCAAATGCTACAGTTGAACTGTGGGTCTCATCGACCGAGTTTGTGATTATCTTGTTCCTTCTGTAAGTGATGGCGCCTAGTGTTTATTTTATCAGTGCAAGGGTGGCAAACATGCGCCATGTAGACTTACCTACTAGCCGGAGCCACGTGACATGCACAGTTGGAGTGAAAAGTGTCCCCATGATTCTCGTTTCTTGCATGGGCCCCATTTCTTTTGTGCTCCGTCAATTCCGGTTTGCGGGTTCGGTGCAATTCCACACCGTCGTCACTCGCTTCCTCCCTCCGCATTGTTCCGAGATCCGACCTCGATGACACTCAACACTCTGCTTGCGGCAGCTGAATCGGAAATCGGAGCCCCAAATAGGTCTCCACGCGTTCGCCACTCACAGGCTTTACATCCTGTTCAATGGGAGCGCGCTCTCGCTTGAGTGAAGTCCTGAACGCGCCCTATCGTCTTCATCACTCATTGTCTAATAGCTGCTACAAGATTTGAGGCAACTAAAATTGTGTATTATTTTTAATTTTTTTTCTCTAATAGGAAATAGCCACGTAGAGGGCATCCGATGAGAGCGCGCTTATGCATCTGCACTGTGTCTTGCGTCAAGTGATCAAGTCTTTTTAGCTTACAAGTTACCGCTGATTCTGTACGATGGTATCTACACGTGATAATAATCCAGTGGTTGTCATGCACGTGATGGAAGGAGTGGGCCCCATCAAAACGATAATAAAAGAAAGCCAAGATTGCTAAAGTGCGCGGCAACGTAGGGCCTGAACCTGAAAAACTGTTAAAAACATCGGGCGGTTGCCATAAATGCAGTTACAGTCATCATCCATGCGAAAGCGACAATGAGTCGATGACTCCTAGTCCCCACAAATCCAAGCTTGTATTAGAATCGTCTACACCATGCCATTTGGCGTCACATTAGGCTAAGTTTGGTTTGAAGGATAAGGAAGGGAAATGTAATGAAACATTTTCTTACTTTTTCCTTCAAACCAAATACAGCCTTAACGGCGGCTAAGATTAAGCTAAACCTAAGACTATGTTTGGTTTGAAGGAAATGGTAAAAAAAGAAAGAAAAAAATAAGGAAACTTATATAAAATTTATAAAGATTTTTTTACATTTTCCTTTCTTTTTCTATTTTTTCCTTCCAACCAAACTTATCCTATGAGATTTCCCATGTTTTTACAGTTGAATCGATTTCCTCGGTTTGGGCATATAGACAAGAAAAATGACTAGAATTAGTGAAATAGGGCGAACCCAAACTGCGGAGATTTGAAAGAATCCAAGTTTCGAAGCGACGTAAAAGCTAACAGTTTTTTGTCAGAAATTGACGGTTTCTGGGTTTTCTGTAATTTCGTTTAACGGCGAGGGCTAGCTTTCGTGATTTTCTGCGTTTGAGTGGTTAATTTGATATTTTGGTCTAGTAAGACAAATGAATTCTTAATATCCCAGGGGCATGATTTGGGTGAACCTTTTTCAGCTTTTTATGATTAAGTACGAAGATTTTCCAGGTGTATCGTATGAGCAAAGCTAGCCTGTTGATAGAATGTAAGGTTACATTCTCCCATCGGGGCATCACAACCGTTAGAAAGGTTCCAGACATTAGTAAGGCATATATGATAAGACATCAAATGAGAAACTTATCAGATGGTTTAGATGCAATAAGTGCACGTGATCTCCTTAGAAGGGCCCATTTGATCCGCGGGCCCAGGAACTGAATAACGCGTCCATTCCTGCCAGTTATAATGGGCTTTCTCCCGTGAACAGTTAGATCCAGCCCGCTCTGTTGTGAGCCCATTACAGGTGGTACGGGTACGTGTTGTCTTGGGACATCTCAGGTATCTCATGACCAAGAATTGAAGTCTCCGGTGTTGAATGCATGGTAGTATGGATTGATTATAGGGAGAATGACCAATCAGGCCAGACCAGAATTTTATAGTCCCAAAGTACAGGGGAAACGCATCCTGACCGTGAATTGATGCCAAATTCACTGGCAAGATGTGGTTTATAGGGGGGGAGGGCTAATAGTGGGGGGATGGAATTCACAATTCTGCATGGTGTGTATCCGGACTTGTCCTTTGATTATACGAGTTGTCCATCATAGTAGTCCACAGAGCCAACAGCTAGGATCATCTAACAGGAGAATAGGGATCCGGAATCGGAATCGGAATGGCTATTCCGATTTAAACTGTTTGGTTGGATAGGATTCGAAATCCCATTCCCTTTTCTTTTGGAATGACATTCCCCCATTTGAAAGATTGGCTATTCTTTGCCCCTCCTTAGGGAATGAAATCATTCTTGCTGATTTCAATTTCAATTCCCATTCCTGTCTAAACCAAACATATTATGGGAATGGGCCATTCCGATTCTGATTCTGTGAATTTTGATTCCGATTCCGATTGCGAACAAAATTGACCCTTATTATATGTTTGGCACCAATGCTGCAGATACAGCATCACTTTCTAAGAAAACGGTGTTTTTTTTTCAGTTTGAAATGTTGTTGCTATGTAGGACGTTTCCTGGAGCAACAACATTTTCTGTTTGGTAATAGTACTCCATGTTTGTTTTCAACACTGGTACCCATTATAGGAAGTCTATGTCATTCTTGGCAGCAACGAGCTGCAATATGAGAAAATGCCAAATTCAGCATTGCTCCAAACCACGTCTTCTCGATTTGCAAAGCACGGCTTAGAACATTGTTTTATATAGAAAATTGATTTCAAACAAACATGTATTTCCTGAAAGTCCCATTTTTTCAAACATGGCACTGATGTATCACCGTTTTCTAGAGCAACGGCATCAAAACCAAACCGGACGCTTAGATAATCAAACCATATTGTTAAAGAGTACCTAAACATATTCTTGTTGTAATTTCAGTTAAGACTCAAAGCTCAAACCTTATGATGATAGGATTTGGATCGGATTCAGCAAAATCTGAATTCTATCATTCAAAATTTGATCGGATTTGGATATCTAGGATTCCAATTCTAATGGATTCGTATTGAATTCAGATTTAATTCAATTCTACTTTTAACACTTTAAAATACAAAAAAATAAAAATTAAATCATTTCAAATTTTATATATAATAAATGAATGCAAATATAATATACTGAATTCATTATATATAAAATTCATATATAATATTAATGTAGTGGATAACCGCACAGTCAAGTGTCAACCTGTGGTTTTGTGTGATGCAAGTCAGTCCCACGCCCTTGACGTGGGAGATAGGCCAGGTCAGGTGTACATCCTTTGGTGTGCAAACCATCAAATATATAAAATTTATATATTAAAACTAATAAATATCATAACATAATCAAATTTAAATTTTAACCGGATGTTATCAATTACAAAATTCAAATCTGAGTACGAAGATACATCACAATCCGAATTCCGAAATAATCAGATCGGATTTCGTATCGGGCGCAGACGTTCGGGTATCATACAGACCACCCAAGCCTGTGGCAGATTGAAAAATGAAAACCTAGATATCCAAGTAAAGACAGCACCATGGTCAGATGGGGGGGTACGTCGCAGAACATCTCTTAGTACTTGTAGATGTACCATCATGCAATGCAGCAGCACTATCTCATCTCACTTCTCCTCAACATGAGAGGAAGCACGGCTCCACTTCGAGATGTGTGCCAAATCCTAAAACCAAAGATGACGGACACGGTGTGAGCGTATCTTCACAGCGCACGTTAGAATCAAGAACAGCACCCTCACTGTACCAGGACTCGGTCCACGCCTAACAAAACGGCATTTACTCCACGGAATACTCTCCCCTCTCAAAGGAAGGTTAGTTTTGTTCTCTTCCCCACCATTCTTTTTTCCTCCATTTCTTTTTCTTTTTTTACCTTCCCATAAAAATAACTAGAAAATTCCAAAAATCCAAATATTAATTAATATCTGTTATTAAATAAAGTAGAAGCCACAACGGTTACAGTTGGCGCTAGCAATACCGGCTAAAGGTAACAGAAACCTTAAATAATAAATCGCCAAGAATTAAATAATAAAATTAAAATTAAACCCTAAAAGAGAAAGGAGAAAAAGAACCGGTTCAGAAACACGTGGATTTTTCTTCTCTGCTCCGACGTTACAACAAACCCATGTAAACTTTCAATTGCCCAAAATGCCCCTGAGGAGTCTTCATCGAAAAGACCTAAAATGCAATTTCGGGTCGAGGTCGAGATCATGTACCCAACGAGTCACACCAAAGCCCAAGAGGCCCATTTGTTTTTCCACTTGTAAGGTGCAGTGGTATTTTTGGAATTTAAAAAATTGTGGTGAAAAAAAAATCAAAACGGGAATAAATAGCAAACCGGCAAGGCTTCCATGTTATGTGTCTGGCTTTCTCCCTTCATGCACACGTTTTATTTGGTTTTTATTTATTTCTTTGATTTTTTCTGCCGTTCAAAAAAAAAAATACTGGAAATTAATTTATTTATTTTACTTTTATTAATTTATTTATTATTTATGCTACTTTGGTTTTGGGTGTCTTTTGGTGGAGGAATGCTTGTCACCTACTCCTAACAGTTTCCACCCTCTCTATATACTTCTCAAGCACCCTTTCAGAGAGAAAATAGAGGAAGAGCAACAAGGCAGAGCTAGAGCGTGCTTCGAAGCTCTGTTTCTGAGTTCAATGGAGAGACACAGTTGTAAGCTCTGTTTTAAGCGCTTCGCCAATGGCAGAGCTTTGGGTGGTCACATGAGGTCACACATGGCCACCCTTCCACCTCAACCGAAGGCCCAACAGATTCATCCGCTCGGAGATGAGACTGAGTCTGCATCGTCGTCGTCGCCGTCGTCTTCCTCGTCCTCCTCCGGTGAAGAGGAAAGGGAGGAGGAGGAGGAGGAGGGGGAGGGGGAGGAGGAAGAGGAGGAGAAGGCAGCTCTGTATTATGGGTTGAGAGAGAATCCCAAGAAGAGCTTTCGTTTGGTAGATCCTGAGTTTTCTTTTGCGGTTGATGCCGGGTCGGTTGTTCAAGACAGGGAGAGCGAGACTGAGTCATCGAGGAACCCGTCTTGGAGACGATCGAAGCGAAATCGAAAATCGAGCATCGCAGAGCAGCAGCATCAGCAGGAACAGCGAACAGAACTCAAGAAGCCTAGGTCGAGCAAACCCAGTAAGACCGAGTCGACGGCGGAGCCGGAACCGGTAAGCTCAGTGTCTGATACTACTCCCGAAGAGGATGTTGCTCTATGTCTTATGATGCTTTCGAGAGATATATGGATGAGGGAGGAGGAGGAAGAAGGAGAGAAATCCATTGACGAGTCGGATGACTCGGAAGAGCTCAAATTTCCGACTCGGACTCGGGGGAAGTACCAGTGCGGGACATGCAAGAAGGTGTTTCGCTCTTATCAAGCCTTGGGTGGCCATAGAGCAAGTCACAAGAAGATCAGGGGCTGTACGCCATCTTCCTCCCCTGCTGCTCGAACCCATGAAGCCGAGTCCGAACTTGGTAATGCAGGCACTTCCGTCGTCGATCGGAGAATCCATGAATGTCCAGTTTGTTTCAGGGTCTTTGCTTCTGGACAAGCTCTTGGTGGGCACAAGAGATCTCACCTTTCTGGTTCGGCTACTGCTGCAAATTCTACTAAATTTGGAGACAATTTGATAGATCTCAATCTCCCTGCTCCGCTTGAAGACGACGATATCAGTCAGGTCGAACTCTCGGCGGTCTCCGATGCGGAATTCGTCGACCCGATAAAGTGATCAATGTTAAAAAGACTGAATTTTGCGTTACTAGATCGGATTCAAATCCAAACTCAGAGCTGTGGACGTTAAGTAGAGGTAAAAGCTTCATCTATTTTTTCTGCCTCTGTAGTCGATCTGAGATTATCTTAAGCTCTTCTGACAATTGGGAAAATTGGGTTCTCTGTATTTACAAATCCTTCTTCTTCTTCTTCTTCTTCTTCTTCTTCTTATTCTACTGCTACTACTACTCAAAAACGCTTTTTTTCTTTCTTCTTTTAAAACCCTGTTATTTTTTCTTCTTTTCTGACTGTAATTCATTTCTTTGAATTGGTTCCGAGTTAAGTGCTGTTACTTACTTGTAACAACTGATTCTAGTGCGACCATTAATGGTGGAATCAGAGATTTTATTTATTTCATTCCTTAAAGGAAGAAGAAAAAAAAATTCTGGGTTAGTTTCATTGGAGTGTTAAGTACGAAGAACTTGCTCTGAAAGTACCGCAGAGTTCGATTCTGGTAATGGGTTCTTGCTCCTGTTTCCAGCTGTTCGAGCTAACTGTTTTCCCTTTTTTTCTCAATTGAAAAAAAAAAGAAGAAGAAAAACTCTAAGAAAAAGTCCATCAAAACCACTAATTTATTTGATTTATTAATTCAATAAAACGAAGTTCGACCTGTCAACACTTCCTTTGTACAGTTGGTGAAGAAGCTAATTCTCTCTTATCTACTCCTTCCTTTTTCTCTCTTTTCTTCTTTTTTTTTTTTCATCCTTCCATCCTTTCTTTTCCTGCCCAAGTTTTCTCTAGCTTTATTTACAAGTGTAAAGATCAGATACACGGAAGTAACCGAACCAGTAAAACACTCGCCAGAAAAAACAGAACCAGTAAAACAGCTTAGCAATAATAAAGTTACCATAATATCCTTGGATTGAGCATTTAATTTACTTTTTCCCCCTTTCCAAGTTATGGAAATCCCAAAAGCTGACCGACGGAAGATCAAAATCCCTTCTTTTTCTGAAAAAGCATTGCCTCTGAAACCAACCAGGTATCCGCTATTATTAATTTGGTAATAAATGAAATAAATGCGTTTCACATTTTTATGTTGCCACACAAGGGCATTTTCGTCTTTTAAATTCTCTTTCAATGGGTCTCGGAATCTTTATATTCTCTAATTTTAGGTCATTTCCTCTCATTTATTTGCTTGATTTCATTTGATTTTATGATAAATGAGGAGAAAAGTTCTCTCTTACACAACTCCAACAGGGAGACTTTTTCTTCTTATGTGGAGTGAAGTGATGAATCAGAAGGGTGTACTCCGCGTAATATACTATGCACAGGGCTAGATCGCGACCGTCCACTTAATTAATCATGGACAGCCAAATTCGCACCAATTGGATTGATGATGCAGCTGGCAAGTTGAGTGTAATTAAAATGGTGGTCCGGGAGTTGGATGATCTGGCCTTTGTTCACGTATTCAACGGAGGATTACTGGATTTATAAATTATAATGGTAGTCTCTCTGGTCTAGACTCTAGTGATATGTCGGAGATCATCACGGATTTGACTTGGGAAACTTTGGATTAAATGGGCAAAAGCTGGAAACATAAATTTGTGATTCTGTGTGCCGCACGCTACGAACACTTGGAAATTGGAATACAGAGTTGGGCATGGGATGATCAAACAACGGATCTTGGTCTCTCTATTTAGGTCAATATTTTTATTTTATTCATGAAAATCCGGTAGAAAATCAGAGAAATATCTAAATAGTCAATAGTGAAAAGGTTGACCAACCCCCAAGTAGAACTAACCTCACGCACAAACATACGTGGGGTCCATGACTACTGTGCCAAAACATACTTCATGTAGGGATCAGAATCACTTAGAATCATGGTTTTGAAAATCGGACTGGACCAGATGGTTGGACCGGTTGACCTAGGTCCGGTTTGGCAATCGGTTCTGTTTCACCCTAAAATCATTCCTGGGTAAAAAATTGTTGATTTGGTCAGTGAACTGTTGATCTAGGTGGTCAAACCGTCGACCAATCGACCTGAACAGTGGTTTTTGGTCATTTTTATTTTAATTATTTATATTTTAAAAATCAGAACGGGCCATCCATTCGAACCCAACGGTCGGACTGTTTGACCTAGGAATAGTCCCCAAAATGGTTCAATGTTTGGTCTGGTTTTTAAAACCCCGATTAGAATGTTTTAACCCGGATTCACATAGACGATTGGGCTAATTAATGCAGGTTAGTTTGGTAATTGATCCTGCATGGGATGGGATCCCGAATCTCTTATTATCGAAACATTAAATTTAGACCTGTTCATGGGTTGGGCCGGGTCACATAAAATGTTGGGCCTGGATTGTTTAAGAAAGCTCAAGCAACCAAGCCCGGTCTAGAAAATGGTTGGATCCAGTGCTTAGAGCCTGAGCCCTAGTCCGTGGGCCTAAAATTTTATCCAAGCCCAATTAAAAACCGGCCATGACGGCCCAACCCATCGAGATGCCCGGCCAATGGACAGGTCTAATCAAGTCTGAAATATTGAATATTGAACTTGAATCTGCTTTATTGTCATTAAATAAAGAAAATCCATGTTTCAAAAAATCAACCTAAAAACAAAGCAGTTTTTACATCCAGGTTACATGTCATGGTCCAACCATCCATTTGGCTAACAGTCGATCTCAAGCTTATGAATTTTTTACTCGATCCAAATTAAAGTTCAAATTTTTACTTCAAATCAAACTCGAGCTCGAGCCTCATACTTTATTGGCGAGCTGATCTCAAATAGCAAGATATCTCGAAACTACCCCTATATCAACCCACAAATCGTTGTTTGGTCGCACACTTCGTTGATTAACTCATTTGGGTCAGTGGTCCAAGTCAACGTTTTTTATTAGGCTCTGGTGGTAAATGGACCAGAAAAAGGTAGCCACTTCCTAGGTTTAATGGTTCAAATCGCCTGCATCAACAATGTTTTCTAAAACATCAATTAGAAAAATAACGATTTTTTTTTAACTCATCCCATTACGCGATTGTTAAATGAAATTGAAGTAAAATGAGCCATATAACATTAAAACTGGACTAAGCTAGTCTCAATCCAATTCAACCTTGATTTTTGCATCTTTGTTCAGTTCAACAGGCACCTAAATTGCATCCCTAGGGAGAGAGTGGCCAATTTCCTATCCACCACATTTAATATTAAGTAAATGGATGCAAATCTGAAATAACCGGACGGAATGTTTAGAACTTGAACCGGATTTCTGACTTTGGGAGCCCTTCAAAAAGCCTAAGCCCCTACTAGAGAAGCTTTATTTGCGCCTGTTGGGTCAATTGTCGAAGCAAACTGACTCAACGTCAACCATAAGTGGTGTCTTTATTTGTTAGCTCCATCTACATAAGTCGGGTTTGGAAAGAGTGGACCATTGACCAGAGGGAGATGACGTTAATGGAGGGTGGTTTTGGTAATTACACCCTTCCGTGTATTGACCACTACCCCGTTTGTTGGTTTGGCCGCTTAAGGGCCCAGAGACCAGAGTCCAGACACACTCACACACACAAATTGGGTGGGTGGGCCCAGAAATCCGTTACGTTGCATCAAAACGCATCACGCATGTGGAATGGAAGCCTCCACTCTCTCAGTTATCAAGTATCAACCATGTGGAATTGTGGGCTGTGGCTTAAAATAGATACCCATCTGACGTCATGGAAGTGCTCTCCCATGTAACTTGATGAGCCGTGCAGTATATTGATGGAGAAGCTAGTAGCTCCATGGTTTTACGTGTGGGGTGAGGCGTTACAAATTCAAGTCGGCAGGTCGTTATTGGAAGATAGAAAGGAGGTGGGGGAAAAGAAACAAACAATAGAAAGGTGTCGAGAGGTGACTAGTGAGTTTGTGAGTTGGGAGTTATGAGTGCTTCCCCCTCGTTGTCATTAAGTGGGAACTAAGTAAGGAGGGAGAAGAGAAGTGACTACTGAGGGATGGGGTCTTCAGTCTCCATGTAAAAAAGAAGAAAAATAAAAAGAGAGAGAAGCAAACAAAACAAATAAACCCATTCCTTCCCAATGCCGACTTATGACTCCAAATCCTAAAGGGACTCAATATTTTCTTCTCTCTTGAAAGCTCTAATAAATTCTACGTCATTGTCTCTCATTGATTCATTCTCTCTCCATTCATTCTCTAAGTGAGAGACTTGATTAACGATGGGTCATTCTGATTCCAGCTGTTTGATTGAGTGTAATCAGAATTTCATTCACGTTTCTGGTGCAATGGCCATTTCCCATTTGAGGGAATGGTCATTTCCTCTCTTTTTTTTGGAATAAAATCTCATTCCAGCTTATTTTAATCTCGATTTTGATTTCTATCTAAACCAAACAAATTATGAGAATAGACCATTTTGATTTTAATTCCAAAGAATTTTAATTTTTTTTATGACTATGAACCAAATGGACCCATGTTCTCGTTCTCCGTTGTTGTACTATTAAGTAGACCTGTTCATGGGTTGGACTTTCACTCTGTATTAACAGGTTTTTCTAAGGCTCAAGCCCGAGCCCGACCCAATCATCGGTGCATACAACTTGGGCCCAAGCCCAGCCGTCATAAAAAGTTCGAAGCCCGGGCCTGGGCCCGAGCCCAAAATTTAGCCCATACTGTTACTACTACTGAAACAGCTGAATAGAGAGAGAGAGATGTTACGAGGGGGTGGTCAATCCAGACTAGGGTCTGAATGCTGCCCCATTCAAGTCTACACCATTGGGACTAGCCAACCCAGCCTGAGCTAGCAAAAGTGATGTTACGAGGGGGCTCGGATCTGTTACCCACAAGAAGTTACAGCTGCGCATTGGAAATATCTGAAGATATTCCCAATACACGGTGGTGGTGCTCTATGGGTAAGGGATATGAGAATAACTTATGGGTAGCAAATACCGAGTGGTTCTAAGGGGTCCATATGATTTGACTCATAATTTGGGCCCATTTGGGTGGGTTGAAACTAATGTATTAAAAAATGACCCAGAAATGGAACCGTTCTGATGACCGGTTTCTGGATTGATGGTTTGATCGTCTGGTTCGAACGGATGGTTCATTCTGACAAACAAATTAAAAAAATAAAAAATGATTAAAAATATTGAAGGGGTCAATGGGTCGATGGTTTGATTGCCCAGATCAATGAATTGTCGATTTTTCAACGATTTTTGGCCAAAACCAGATTTAGAGTAAAACGGAACCAGTTGCCTGAACGATTTCCGGACTGAACGATTCAATCATCCGGATCAATGATGGTTTGAAAACCTTGGCTGAAACACACAAGCTTCGCCTTTCGGGGTAAGGGTTCCAATATGAACAGCCTATAAACTATATTTGAGACGAATCTAGAAATCCAAAACGACTGCCGGTCA